TATAAAAAAATCTCGTTTATTAAAATTTTTTTATTTTGTATGTATTTTACATTGAGTGTTCGTATTAGGAACAAATTTTAGCTTGTCGTTCTTATTAGGAACATGACTCCTAATACGAACAAATTCACTTCTCAAAAATATACCGCTAATTACTCAATCAATTTTTGAGATAATTAACTCATTTTTGTATCATTGGATGCGCCAAGTGCTCCTCTACTCAGAAATGCAAAAGTAACTTTTTTATGTTGAGAAATGCCTGAGAAAAATAGAAAATAACCGAGGGTGTTGACACACCTGTTCTTATTAGGAACAGTGCCTGTAACTCTCATGTGTCACCTCCTTCGTGAACTTTTATTTGTACAAGTCCAACGACAAATTTAGTTTCGGATCAATTAGCATTAATGATGGAACATTTTAAAAAAATGACAAATGCAATTGATCAAATAAGTTTAGAAAAAACAATGGTTCAATTACCATCATCTTCGCAATCAGATGATTTAGAACAGATGTTTCAAAATATCACATGTTCTAATGATTTATATATGCTAAAATATTTAGAAATAGTCAGTTGGATACCATCACATGTATACCTTATTTTAAATTTAAAAAAACAAGCACTAAAACATCTGTTAAGTACAATTAAACTCTCATTTGGTATATTTGAGTATGCTGAACAAGATCCGCATCAGATTCAATCCCAACGATTCAAAAGTTTGAAGAGAAATTTAAAATTACATTATGAAAATAGACTTCATATGTGGTGTGTTGAAGAAGACGAAAAAGTTAGACAAGAATTACATGATTTTATTAGAAAAAATAAAAAAGCTGGGTTCAATATTTGTATAGCAGCGTTATTTTGCATTCAAAATTCGCTTTCTCGTAGAGAAGAGTCTAGCAAGAATAAATTGTTTGTTTGCTTCCTTGTATGTCCGCACTTCACTGGTTGGTCCTAGAATGATGTGAAATCAGAAGAGATTATTTTCCAGAAAACTTTACCATAGGTTATCGAGGGTCAGGATTCCAAATTGAAGGTCCGATTTTACAAATTTATTGAACAATCAATAGATAATTATTTTATAAACAAAAAGGACAAAACTTGGTTATTTTATAGGAAAAGTGAACAATATCAACCATGGAAATTATTATCTCTTGGTTCACTGATATTGAATCGTTTCCGAAGTGAACAAGTACCAAGACTACCAGAATTAAATGATGACTGATAAAAATCATTTTTTTAAACAACCTTCTTTCTAATTGTTGCTAGCATTATTTCTGTTTTATGTCTTTTGTTACATATTTAGTTAAAGATTTGGTTGGGAAAAGATAATTCCTTCTATTTTCATACTGGGGGAAATTTTTGGAGAGTTATTATGCGTGCGGGGAAATTTTTTAATTTTACGGTAGATTCTGCACCTCTGGAACCCGGTAAGAATTAGATTTTTTTTTCTATCGGTTCTTCTTTGAGCCAATTAGTTTTGAAATGTTGATTTGGAAAAATCATAATATTTATGATTTGTCTTTTTTTTGCTTATCTAATCTTAAATGAGAAGAGAACCAACTCTGTTCGATTTGTTATCATATCGAATTTGGTAGATGAAGAGAAGATGAAACGAATAAGATATTTAATCATTTGTTTATCTTGTACACTTTATAGAATGTTTATTCTTTTTGGTGGTCCTCTTCGTGTTGTATCTGCTACATAAGATTCTCTGGTTGGCACACGTGAATGTGCGAATCATTGTGAAAAATAAAACTCGAATCGGTAGCTAATTTGCCTAAGATAAAAAAGAAATCTAAAGATAAAATATGGACGAGAATAGAAGAACGAAAGAATTTCATTTCTACGTAGTATGACTAAACGAATAAATTACTACACCCTATCGAATATCTATCGATATATACGCCGTGTAATTGCGTGAACAGAAAGAAAATGACATCAGAACGAAGAAGTATATAATACATGATGAATATCTCTTTGTTCTCCTCGTCGACAATCATTTATATCAAAAGATCCTTATATTGATGTATTAAATAATCTTTTATTTCTAGATTACACTGAGCATGTCATCGAATACTAATGATAAGTTGGAAAAATTACAATTCTTATTTCTATACATTCATGATGAACTTTTAGAAAATAATTTCGTTTGTTCACTTGACAAGGTAAGAAAAAAAAAATAGTTTTCCATATTATTGTGTTCCATGTTTTGAAGAGCCAACGCAATATTTCCACAATAGCCAAGGGTATAAGAGAAAATTATCACCTTGAATATAAATACAACAAAGTGTCTATTAAAATACATGTTGGCGTCAAAAAAGATAACGATGTACTTATTAAGACACAATTAAGCAGAATATGTTCAAATGAAATGACATAAGTGAATTATTTTGTCAATTTTAGAATGATGATATAGGACTTTACCAAAAAATTCCTCTGAATTTGAATAAAGATATAATTAGCAATAAAGACTATGAGTAAGATATTTTTATTCTAGAAAAGTATTTTCATTTTTATATTCTATTATAGATTTAAAAACAAAAATAATTTCGATGAATCATTACGAAAATTTATTGATAAATTCAAGTACACATGATTAATTATCTTGGTAATTTACCCCCTCCAAATCATTCACAAGGACAAGCATTAAAAGATTCGAATAAAATGCAAGTGGAACATCTTGAAGGAAAAGCTCAACAAATTGATGAGAATCCATCTTCATGTTATTCAATGGCACCATCATCATTAACACCTTCAAATACTACAACATCAACAAAAGATAATTTAGGATTCAATGGTAAATTACTTTCATCTAGAATGGATCTATCTGCAACACGACGTTTATATAAAGCTGGTCAATCGGAAAAATTCATTCTAGATTCATTACCAGCATCAATTAATAAAATATTGTCTGGTCATGAAGATGAAGTATACTTAACAAGATTATCAACACAAATAAATTATGATGAAATTGGTATAATCTGTATTTGATTTAAATTTTATAATCATTCTTTTTTTTTTGTTTTTCCTTCAGATACGGATAATGAAGAATTTTCATTATATAAAGATGAATCATTAGATATGAATAATGATCAAAAACCTGTTACATCAAATATGGTATCAGCATCAAGTAATATGTTTCAAAGGACAAGTACATTACAATCATCAAATTCACCATGTGATTCATCAAATAATCAAGGTTCAAAACGATCATTAAATAATTCCAATTTAGGACATATACCAACACGAATGAAGCATACGCAATTTCAAGTACATTGTTTTTCTTTTAGAGTACAATTTCAAAGTCTTTGTTTTTCTTCTAGAATACGAATGCTGAGCGTTGTATATTAGGTCTACCAGATTTTGTGTCTCGAGATTTTAATATACCATATCATGCAATCAATCTCAGTCGAAGAATTATTTCATACCCTGCTAGTTCATCACAGCCATCAACAGGTTTAACACCTCCATTACCACCATGTGATCTCATGCAAGAACATCCTTTTCATTCACAGCCGTCATATTATCACCCAATGAACAACATGCTTTCATTACTTGGTCCACCACTTGGTCCATCACTTGATCCACCACCTCCCATGTCGTACAGAACGGCCTGTAAAAGGCCTTAAACGGCTCGAAAACGATGAAAAACGACTCCCGTTACGATCATCGTTTACGATGTGCCGTAAAACGGCGAAAAACGGCAAAATACGATATCCGTTACGATGGTCGTTTACGTACCAGCGGAAACGGCTGTCGTTACGACCTTTGCTTTTTCGCCGTTTCACACTGTTTTTCATCGTATAAACATAAGGGTTCTCAAATCATCGTCAGACATTCTCTGATAAAGTATAATAGATTGCTCACTGTTTGTTAAAAAAGTTGATACTACTTTTCATCTTGATTGCTTTCACCATCTAATTCAATAGCAAGTATTTTAATTAAATAAATATGTTTATATTTCGGTCTATCTTAATCAAATATTCAATAGTGAGTATTTTATTTGAATAAGTTTATTTATTTTTTTTTGTTTATTGAGAAAATAAATCAGTAACGTATTTAAAGACAAGTATTTTATTTAAAAAATATAAATTTATCCTTTTTATTTAGAATTTAAATCAATAAAATACTTAAAAGTCAGTATTTTATTTAAATATATTTATTTTTCTTCAGATTCGTCTCAATGGAACATTTGTCATTGATTGTTTTAAATAAATACATTTATTTTGTTTTATTTAGAGCTTATCTCAATAAAATGTTCAAAAGCAAGTATTTTCTTTAGATAAACAAATTTTATTTGTTGTCTATAGGAAAGGTGGACAGAGGAGAAAACCATCCTTGGGCAGCATATAAATAGAGTCGTAAACGAGGAAAATGGTGTAAATATCTCATAGTAGGGCGAGAATGCGATCTTGGCATTACTCATCGTTAATCGCCGGAAAGGGCCTAAAACGGCGCCGTTTACGTTCCGGGGGAAAAACGGCCCTCAATCCGAGCTGCCGGAAAACGATGAAAAACGGCGATCGTTTTTCATCGTTTAGGGCAATAATTGCACCGGTTTTTCATCGTTTTAGGCCTTTTAAGACGTCGTTTCAGACGACCTGAATGGTGGACCTGGGCTGGTCCATCACTTGGTCTACCATCTGGTCCATCATTTGGTTCACCATCTGGTCCATCACCTAATCGACCATTTGCTCCACCACTTGGCCATCAACAACAAATATCTTTTTTATCAAGCATGAATAATAATATTGGTAGTATGCCACGACATGATTATCCTCGTATGCATCAAAATATGTCTGCTGCTCAACATTCAATGTATTCAAATAATGGTCGACTATCTTCAACATCACAATCAACTGGTAATACGTCTGATTCTACAAATCCCACTCGAACACTAGATGAAATTCTAACAAACTCAATTAATTCATCTACATCATCTACAAATATTTTCAATTCTCCACAGAGACAAAATATGTTAAAAGATCATCGATTCCAGGCAATACTTGATGAAGTAGGAACACCACCATCAAATCAACGTTAAACGATGAACAACATCATCTTGTTGTTATTGATGATGTTTAATAAATGAACATGAAAAAAATGAATTTTTTTTCTCTTTTTTATATATGTATAATATAATAAAAATGTTAATAGAAATTATAAAACAATAAGATGGCAAGAAAATGTATCAAAAGTTTATTTTGACGGTCATGAGGGTTCGAATAAAATACGAAATGTTTATTGATGTAGCTTGAGGATGTGAGGGTGAGAGTGAGATTCAAGTTCAGGAGATATGGTTGCAGGTGAAGGTGAGAGTTATGCGCTTTCTTTGATAATCTGACCGAAGAATCTGTTAAATCGAAAAAAAATATGTCCGATAGTTCCGAAACTATGTTAAAGGTTTTAAAAGAAAATATTGCGACCAGTCCACCGGTAGTATACTTGAAACATTATTTAAATCAAATTATAATGTTGAACTTTGCTCATTGCCAACACCACAATTTTAATATGGTTCATTTGCTTATGATGCTCGACTTAATCTTGGTAAATTTCATTTATATTTAATTTTAAAAAAAACAAAGAATTATTTTTTTTCTAAGGAGATTGGTCACCAAGTGGTGATGATCTTCATTGTAAGTATAGCTGAAGAGATAGAGATCTGCAAAATGACATTTTTCAGTCCCGGTCCCGATTCCGATCTTTATTATAGCTAAAATTTTCTATTTTCACATATATCAAAACTCAAAACCGTTTTTTTCCAGACTACACACATCCTACATACATGCCGGCTGGCATAGTACTATTTCAGTGTGAAAAGTATGCCTGTGATCTGAAGAAGAACCTCGGAATTTGTATAACTAGGACTTCTATTTTTACGACTACTTCCGGAATTTTTTTGCAAGATTAAGTCTTAGTTTTACTTTTTTTATTGCTAACAAGTAGCAAACTTCTCTCAAATACTCATGAGCACGACAACCGAGCTAAGCGATTCACACTAAAAATGGTAGAACGATAGTGAAAACTTTTACATATGAGGGAATATTTAAACTGCAGTCGAGTCCAATCTATGTATATTATGTTTCGGATACCGAAAAAACTACTCAAGTTTCTAAAAAACTTCGATTTTTAGTAAGAGAATCGAAATCCGTGAGAAGCTTTTATTTGATTTGGAAACAAAAATTGTCGATTTACAGATTGTGAGTCAGAACAGAGCAAAAAAATATGAAAATGTGTAGTAAAATACTTAATAAAAATAAGCTGCCAGGGGCTGGTCTGAAAATGTTTCAATTCGAGTCCCGTTTCCGGCGGGATAGGAACCACTTTGCAGATTTCTACTGAAGAGATCTCTGCATATGATCCATTCAAATTTGCACAAATTCTTCATATCTTTCGTTTAATATCACTTTCAGATAATAAAGCACGTTGATCTGTTTATTGAATGGGCAATTGTCATGTCGATATAATATGTGGACCATTAATATCATCAACGAGACAAGTAGGAAGATTTGAATTTAGTGCTATTCATAATATTGATGTTCCATCATGTGGAGAAACAATACAATCTGTTGAAGCACTTTCAATTTCTGCTTAACGTCATTTACATTACTCGACATTTGATTATTTATTAGAAAAAGCAAAAAAAGAACAATGAAGCATCAGTACCATCATTAACAAAAACTAAAATATCAGATCATAAAACAGAAAAGGTAGAATAGTCTATTATTTCAATAAAACATTGTTACGTGTTTTTTGGTTCGTCATTTTTAGTAGAGATCAAAAGAAGAAATTCAAGCAATTTTCTGTTGATAAAAGAAAGAATGAGATTTTTTTTTTTTTTTTCAGATTGATTGTTTTAAAATTCGAGTCTAACATTATTTAAATTGATGAATATCTATATCTAATGAACACATATACAACTCAGATCGAAGCGTACGGTCCAGTACCGATCGGAAAAAGGTTGGATTTTGGAAGTAGGAATACGGTCTCCAAATTCTGTGATCAGCTTCCCCCGTTTTCAGCAAGAACCAGCCGAAGCTGAGCATACCCGATTAATCATATACGGATGCAGGATTCCTGTTTCCAAATCCGCCGATTTTCCCTCGTTTTCGGATCGGAACCGTTGACTTTCCAGCGAGTTCCTGTCGGAAAGTCTCTAGAACTGAACGCAGTAACCATTGTTCTAAAAAGATAAATTCTTCTTACTCATTATATGAAATCAATTATTCATATAAAAATCAATTAATTACTTTATCAAATTTTTAGTCCAATGAAACAAAACAAAAAGAACATTTTATAGAAAAAGAAAAAAACCTTGGAGAAAGATTTTTCTAAAATTTTTGACGTTGTTTTGAAAGATGAATTTTCTCTTCAATGTTTCGCATGAATACACATTTTCGTTCTTTGATATCAGTTATAGATGTTTATCAATCCTTCGTTTTTTTTGTTTCTTCTTGTTGGTCCATTTATTTAATTTTTATTTTTTCGTATCTTGAAAAGAGAAAAAAGATGAAAATTACACACATTCTTCTTTTTATCAACATAACCGATACAGAAATCAAGGTTAGACACAAACAGTTTGTATTTTTATTCATTATTACAAGTGGATTAACATCATAACAGTGTACGAATCTGAACGTTGGCGTCATTAATACATACATTGTTTTTTTTTTATCTAGAAGCAAATAATATCACGCATTAAAAAATCTATTGTTTATATAAAAATCAAGGGACAATTAATCTTTAACAAAGCTTAGATAAGTAAAATCATTTTATTCTTGATTATTCTGAGAAGTGTCGAGTAAACATAAGGTCTGGTTTTATCATTTCAGTTCATTAAAAATCAAAAGTAATGTCAAAACAAGTTTTATCTTCATCGACTGGATCATCAATAACGATCAAAGAGAACAGGCAAACAGGAAGCGAATCTTACTACTGACAATAGAGGTTGTGGTCATTTTTATTGTGTTCGTAAAACGAGTCTAACTCCAATTCATTCAATATATTAACTTTCAAAATGTATAAACTAAATATTTTAGTGGTTCACGATTCATTATCATTATTCGATGACAATTCTACCACTTCAATACTCATGAGTGAATGTAAAATATATCTTGAAGAGTTATCAATTGAATCATTATCTTGTTGTTTAGGGGTGTGAGTGAGAGTGGGCGTAGGTATGGGTTTTTGTGTGAAGGTCAGCTAGCACTGATCAACTCATATCCACATCCATTATTTCTTTTATTAATTGAAAAAAGGAAAATAAAATTAGCATATCAACAACACCGATGAAGAAAAAAAAATGAAAACGTTCAAGAGA